AAGCCATCTGTCAAATGGCTCTCTATGGTACCCAGGTAAAGATCTTCAAGGGTCTGAGGTCTTAATTTTTGACTTCTCTGAGTGTTTTGTTTCCCTTCATGCGCCTTATGGTCCAAAAAATAGTAACCTATTTTATTGGAGATGTTCAGAGACAGTTGATTTTCTTACCACCATTGTTTTAGGTCAGTCACTGCTTCCCTGTAGGCTGTCTCATCACCTGAAGTCAAGCAACAACATTTTTTGCCTTTCTGTTGGTTTAGAGAACCCAGTCATCCTGCAGATTCCTGCTGCTCCTGTGGTGGAGGGAGATAACATCACTCTGCTCTGTAGAACAAAGAATCCCTCCAACAAATCAGCTGATTTCTTTAAAGATGGTATCTTCATCAAAAATGAAAATACACGACGCATGACCATCTACCAAGCATCAAAGGCTCATCAAGGTTCCTACAAATGCAGCATTGGTGGTCGTGATTCACCATCCAGCTGGCTGCTGATACAAGGTAAAGAACGAAGAACCAAGTCAACCGTAGATCTAAACATTTTAGAGGTATCTAACAGATGGAAAAACAAAACAACACAATTGGTGGTTTGTACAAACTCTTATTATAATCTCAAGCTACCAGAAACCTCCTTACATTTTAAAATCAAGCGACTGAATAAGTGCAGCTGAAGCCTCAGTTACTCAGGACTGGAGAACATCTGATAACCATCAGTCACTAAGGAAAAATATGCTGGGTGAGGTCACTCACTCACTCACTCACCTGTGATCACTTTGGCTGCTGGAGTATTATTTGTGTGCTTTTCATTTCAGATTAGTTTAGTTTTTGTCCAAGAAAAAAAAGTGAAAAGCAACAAAGGATCATCTTAAGGTTGTGCAGTTTTTTACTATCTTGAATGCAGCTGAACAAATTTTTAAACACACTGATGTAAAGTCTGCTTCTGTCCCCAGATGATGCTGACCCCCCAACTCTCACACCGTCCCCCAACACAGCTCAGCTGTTTGAGTACAAGAGCCTGAACCTGAACTGTGGTGTTCAAGGATGGACAGTGAAGAGGTTCACAACATTTGCTGAAGACCTGTCCAGTTGTCAAGCATGGGGGCAAGTCGATTCCCATGGCTGCATCCTCCATACGACCAAGCAGCCTGACAGCGCGGTTTATTGGTGCGAGTCTCCTACACAGCAGCGGAGCAACTCAGTCAACATCACTGTTCATGGTATGTTCAATAAAAAACCCTTTAGAAACAAAAACCCTTCAAATTTTCTAAGAATGAGGGACGACTAAAAGTAAACATAATTGTCCAAACAACTGAAAGTTGTTGTAAAAGAACCAAGAGACAGATGCAGATACAATTGAAAGGTGTATGTATGTGGGAGGGGGGCATGAAACCTTGAGAAACTAACCTTTTTCTGAACCAGCTGAAGGGAAATCATTGTGAATGTCTTGTAACCATTGTGTGGCAGGCAGGAAGTGTAACCCAAAGCAGTACTCGCAGCTTTTATTAGCTGTTTTCTACTAAGGAAGAAAAAACACTGGCTGTCAGGATTATAGGACCCAAACGCAGGACTCTGTACGATGAATACAGCACTTTTATTTACAGTGCAGCAAATAATCATGACCCGATAAATGCCCATGCGTGATCCTGATGAGTGTGCGTCCCCGATTCCCATGCTGTGTCTTCTCCCAGTCTCCGTGGTCCTACTTTTCGCTCCCTGTGTGTCTATGTGCAACGTGCCTGCTTCGTCCTCTCATTTACGCAAATCTCCTGGAAAATCACAGAGGAAGCCATGAGTAACTTCTACACTCGCAGCAACCTCAAACTTTCTAGTGTACGGTTTTGCTGGGAAACTGATGGGAAATTTCACAAAGATCCAGCGTCGACGGGAGCTCTGTTAAGAAGCTCCCGAGATTAGGTGAATCAGCTGCAGGTGTGTGTGATTATGCCAGGTAGGGGAAAGGCTCGGTTTTCCAGGAAAACCAGGACACACACACACACACACACACAGGTAACGAGGGAAAGGGAAGCAGGTGGGATGACGGCTGACACTTGCACGGTTGGACCTTAGACCCTACATCTGTTGGGATTTACATTCCTGGGAAAGTTTGCAACTCTCTTGAATGTTGTTTACTTGTGAGTACTTCCTTACTGAAGAATGATGGACTTTATCTCCGAGCAGGTCGAGATACTCCAGTAATCCTGCAGAGTCCCGTCCTCCCCATGATGAAGGGAGATAATGTTACTCTGCACTGTGAAACAAAGAACACTCAGTCCATCCTCCCAGCAACTTTCTACAAAGATAACTCTATTGTTGGTACTGAGCCTAGAGGTCACATGATCATCTATAACGTCACCAAGTCTCATGAAGGCATCTACAAGTGTAACATGAGTGTGGGAGAGTCTCCATCCAGCTGGCTGTTCATCATAGGTAAAACAGGATGACTGAAAGCTTTGAAAGTCCAAAGAATCAAGAGACTGTCATCTTTTTTTTTTTATTGATTTTCTTTATTTACTGAAGCAGCTGTGCTTGTTTGTTTCTAGATCCTGATGCTCCCGCCTCACATTCAGATTCAGACAAAAACCTGTCTTCTCTGGGAATGCTGCGTCACATCTTGGTGTACTTTCCATATATAATCTCGACATTCCTCATGGTCTCTATATATCGTGGGTCTACAGGTAACATTATTATGTTCAAATATCACCCATCCATCCATTTAGTTAAATCCTGTGTTTATCCCTTCATGTGCTTTGTGTGGATCCTCCTCCCTGATTTCTGGTGGTCTAGAAGTAGACAGTCTCCATAGGGATGAGGTTTTGGGGGGATGGCAGGAATAGAGAATAGAGAAGCTGCAGAGAGGCAGATAACACTGCAAGGAAAACAAGAAGTGTGCATACATGAAGGGCCATTAGGTTCAAAATGAGAATTGAATCTAAAAGAATTACTTTTGATATGTTCTCTTTGTTAAACAATCAGATAAATGTGGGCTTAAATGTTTTACAAGTCAGTTTTGATCATTTGCATTGTTTCACACAATTAATGCCCACTATACACTTAACAGGAAGAAACTCACATCAAAGAACAATGTCTCCACCCACTGAGGAAGATGAAGACCATCCGTATGATGATGCTATGGCTGATGTCACCACTGAGCATAGTTTCTAATAAAATCTTTGTCACGTTGCTTCCTAAACATTTTGCACTTTTCAGAATGAAATACTTGTTTCATGTAAATGGTTTTCTGGTTTACATTTTGTTTTCAATGTTTGTTTTTTTTTATAAATAAAGATTAAAAGCTGTTTTTACAGCTGACTGGTATTCTTTAAAAGCATTTTCCTGACAGCAGGAATTATCAGTGTTAGAGATAAACTTATATTTTTATTTGTTTGAATGTCCCCTGATTGGAACATTTAAATGTCACCTTAGGCCTATGTTGTGTTAGACTGGGGATGAGGGAGCAGAACTACTCTTGGTGATGTGCTGCCACCTGCTGTCTGCTTTCTGTCAGTGCTCAGGCTGTCCATCCTTGAGACTGTGGAGCTACAGCAGGGAACAAAAGCCAAGTGATTAAAGCCCAGAAAATTTACTAAACCAGTTTTATTCAACTTAACACCTGAAAGAAACCTTAAAGTGACAGTTAAAAGAAAACCAAATATTTCTGCAGCTTTTTAGAATTTTAAATCTAAAACAGCCAAACATTGCTGCCTATCTCAGCTGTCAGAGGTTGAGAAGCAGGGCACACCCCGTGACAGGTCCTCAGTTTGTCACAGAGCAAACACAGAACTATTAATGTTTATTTACAAGATCAATTTAAAATCAACTTGATCCCATGCAAATGGACTTGCCCAGAGAAAAGCCCTGCAGACATAGGGAGAACAGATCCACACAACTTTGATAGCCTTGCTATTATATTATATTATATTATATTATATTATCACGGAAAAAAACTGTCCCCAAATCTTTTCCTACACAAATCAGTGCAGTTTTTTTATCAGTGTGATGCCTTCATTAGTGATGTGTTGGTCGTGAACGAAACGGCTCTTAGAGCCGGATCTTTGACGTGAACGACGCGAGCCGGCTCCTTATCGCGAGCCGTGTTTTTTTTC